AGCAGGCTTCCCGCCGAGCAGGGAGCCCGATGTGGGGCTCGATCCCAGGACCCTGGGATCATGACCTGAGCCGAAGGCGACGCTTAACAGACTGAGGCACCCAGGCGCCCCAAAACCTTGGACCTTTTGATAAGAAAAAGAGGATTCAAAGAGAATATTGTCAGATCCCCAAACAGGCTGAGTTTTGAAATATGTGCTCCCTAATTTCAGGCCACAGTGTTGTCCTGGCACTTTGAGTGCACACACAGCACGTTTGTCCTGGCAGTCTTCAAGCCCTTATCTTACCTGGGTGCAACATTTGTTAGAAGCCCGGTTTCCTCACTCGGCCTCTGTCTGTCTAATCAGCTGATGTAGGCGGCTTCGTCGGGAATCCAGAGGCGGAGCTGCTAGTGCGATGGTACCAGGCTGGGGCCTACCAGCCCTTCTTCCGTGGCCACGCTGCCATGAACACCAAGCGGCGGGAACCCTGGCTCTTTGGGGAGGAACACACCCGGCTCATCCGAGAAGCCATCCGGCAGCGGTACACCCTCCTGCCCTATTGGTATTCTCTGTTCTACCGCGCGCATGTGGCTGCTCAGCCCGTCATGAGGTAAACAGGCTTCCCTGGTTGCAGGCTTCCCTGGTTGCGGGGCCCAGCAGCCAATCTACAGCAGAAAACCCCGGCCATTGGGGAAGGGAGTAATTACACAGTGATTTCAAGAGAAAAGCCATGTGTTTTTAGTCAAATGTCCTTCAGATTACTGAGCACCAACTGTGAGCAGGGTCAAGGAGTTGAGGTCACAGAAAAACCGGACCCCCTGCTATTTTGTGATTAAAGTGTTAATACTTGATAGGAGACAGATTTTTTAAAGAAAAAGTGACTGTAACTGAATTCGCTACTTAATCCACAAGAATCCTCTCATGAACAATTTATTCCGCCAGTCTTAGGCTATATCTTACCTTAGAGCTAAACCATTCCAAGTTTGAGGCGAACATTTTTCCCATAGTATAAATTATATTCTGATTCTGTTTTAGAGGCAGGATGTGAAAAACCAACTTTCTAGGTTAGAGAATGATACAAAGACACATAATACACCGAGGCTTCCAGATCAGCTGATCCTAAACCTGGCTCAGATAAGAATCACCTGGGGAGCTTTTTAAAACTCTAGATTCCAAGGCCACACCCCCCAGACCTACTAGGAATCTCTTTGGGTAGGTGTCAGGATCTAGATTTGTTATAAATTTCCCTGGTGATTCTAGACATCAGCCAGATTGAGACTGCTGCTTTGTTACTATTCAGTAGGAAAGTGATATATTTTTACAGAGGCTAGTGAATAAACTAAAAATAAGTTTCTCTTACTTAAAAATATCCTTTACTCATGAGGTTGAAAAAAAAAGAACCATTAAGTTGATATCCAGCTGCACAGATAATGAAGATTTTATTATCTTCATAAACCCAAATGCCTCCTAGATAGTTGTGTAAAACAATAATAATAAAAAAAACAAAAACCACACAACAGTTTCTCAACCCTCCAAAAATGTTGCCTGCTTGAAAACAAGTAAAACCAATTCTTTTCATTTAAATAGATAATGATTAAGGATGCATGCATGAAAAGCAGTGACAGCATGAAAACATGGCACAGATTTTATATCATTATAAAATAATGGTTTTACAAACATTTAATTTGTTCCATACTGAATGTGTTAGGCATTTGGACTTGTACAGAGCTCTGATTCTGCCTTCAGAGTAGTATTTAGTACTCAACAATCGGAAGGAAAAATTGTAGGTACCAGAATTCTCAATCTGTCATTGGAACATTTCAGCAAGTAGATAGCTCTTTAACATTAGAAAAAGATACTAATCCTAGCAATTGCTTATAAAATCTTAAATCATGAAAAAAATCTTGGCTCTTTGGCTTTTCCAGTTTCCTTTGAATAGTTATAAAATTGAAAATATAAGTGATTTAATAGTAATAAAACATCTAATGATGTTGAAATAAGAATTTTTTTCTCTTCCCAGACCTCTGTGGATAGAGTTCCCAGAGGAACTAGACACTTTCGGGGTGGAAGATGAATACATGCTGGGTGAGCATTTCTTGATTAATTATCATTATGATAAATACTGTAATTATGTTTTTGTTATATTTCCTAATGTAAGAGCACTAAAAATCAATCCCTAATCTCAAGAAAACCAAAAAAAAAAAAATTCTAAAAAATCTTAAAAATTAAGACTTTTAGTGTATTAGTGGACTGATAACTCTCTTCTGTGGTCAGGTAGCACTTCTCATATTGTTAACTTCACATAAACCCATTCTATTTGTGGATGCAATTTGAGATTCTTGTTCTGGATTCACTCCTGAGCCTACTGATGCCCCTGTAGGGAATGGAAGTAGAAAACAGTAGACCAGATGACAGGAAAGACTGAGAGAGCTTACTTCATGGGCAAAACAGAGTTATTGGTGGGTGGTGGTGATAGCCTCTTCTTTAACAAGGGTTGACCACCAAATCCAGGATATGGAGGTTTATCACCTTGGGAATAGGACTCAAGAAACCAAGCTCAACAGAGAGTTGCCCAAAAGGTGCATCCTATTTCTAAAAAGCAGAAATCCTAAAATGTAAAAAGCCTAGTGCTACCTCTCCACTCATTCTTAGGTCTCAGTTTAAATAGCTACTCCCTTGGAGAACATTTCCCTGACCAGAATTGCTTCTAATAGCTAATTACACCCAACTATAGTCAAAGTCAGTCCCTCTTATTACATAACTTTCATTCCATTTTGTGCTTTTGCCTCTAATTAAATTATAATATCTGTCTATACTGACTGCAAACTCCATGAGGACAGGGACACTGTCTTATTTGCCACTGTATCTCCAGAGCCTAGCATAATACCTGGCACTCAGCCGGAACTCAGTAAATATTTGTACAATTTTAAAGAGTAAATTCTTAAATGGATGAAATTTACATACATGTGGAGCCACAGTCAAAACAAAATTAATAATCCAGATTGCCTTTAAGAGAATTACAGCCTTCCTAATGATAACTGCCCGTGGATATACTCCTATCCATGCTGATCACGCTTCTGGATAACAGTTGTAGGCTCACTGTTTTCAAAATCACTAACAGCAGGCAATGACGCACCTGGAGAAACGGGACGGCTCTTTCAGACTCCCGGCACTAGCGGCGATGTGCAAATGAGACTGATAGACCGTGTCAGGGTCCCTCCCTATTATCCTAATATGCCATAAGTGGACGAATGATAAGTAAGAATGCAGTCACTGGTTTGAGCACCAGACCTCTTTCTAATAATGCGTCTCTCTGATGAATCATTGGTTCAACTAACCAAGGTCTCTACTTTCACCAAGTTCATGGCTGAGTAGTCTCCAAAACCACAGAAGCACTAAAAGGAGAAGGATGTTTTCAGACCTCTTGGAATGATAATTCAACTTTATTTCTTCTCTGTTTTTCAGGAAGTGCTTTATTGGTTCATCCAGTCACAGAACCAAAAGCCAGCACAGTTGATGTGTTTCTGCCAGGATCAAATGAGGTAAGAATATATGACAAACAGCCATGTATCTTGCCTGTCTCCTATCTCCTCCCTTCATTCTGATGAATTAGCCCCTGTTAGGAAATAGATTTCTGCATCATGCAGTTGTGAAGACAGCCCAAATGCCTGTAGCAACTGAAGATTCTTGTAGGTCACGACCTCAATGGAAGAGTGGGGAGAAATTGATGAATAGGGAGAACACCAAGGAAGGTCAGCATGGTTCTTTACCTTCACACTTGGACTTGTGTGACTCCTTGTAAACACAGGAAGAAATTTTTAGTCTGCTAAGAGGTATCAGTCGCTGGGGGGAAGCATAAGTAAAAAAGACTTTGCTCTTTGTTTCTGGCTCTATCTAAATTCTAAGTTTTTGGTACCAAAACCCGGTCTCCAGACACTCACCAAAGTGGGTAAAAAGTAACAGTGGTGACTTTCCTTTATGCTCCTCTAGCCTCCCAGCTCTTTTGTTGGTTATTGTCATTGATTATTATCACAGTATAAAATATCATCCTGCACTGCTGGAACCCAGGGCATTGAACCCAGGCAGGGCCCAGGGAAGAGGTAGGATTAGCCCCTGGGCTGCAGAGCAGAGGGCCATGGAGAAGAACAGCAACGGCCTCCAGGGACAGACCAAGGATATATGCAGAGGGGCCAGGAGAAGAGGCAGGGCAGAAACTTGGGGCACCAGACCAGGAAAAGAGGGTATGGAATGGGGAGCAAGGAGAAGACAGATCCTGGAGAGAGTCCTTGAGCACTGGAGCATCATCAGAGGCTTCTGCAGGCAGGGGGAGGAGGCATGAAGGTTACCAAACTGATGTGAGACCTCCATGTCAAGATATTCCTGGACTGACTCTAGAAAACAGTATGGAGGCTCCTCAAAAAGTTAAAAATAGAACTACCCTGTGACCCACCTACTGCACTGTTAGGTATTTATCCAGAGGATACAAACATAGTGATTTGAAGGGGCACATGCACCCCGATGTTTATAGTAGCAATGTCCGTGATAGCCACACTATGGAAAGAGCCCAGGTGTCCATTGACAGATGAATGGATAAAGAAGACGTGGTATATATATACAATGGAATATTACTCAGCCATCAAAAAATTGAAATCTTGACATTTTCAATGACGTGGATGGAACTATAGTGTATTATGCTAAGCGAAATAAGTCAATCAGAGAAAGACAAATAGCAAATGATTTCACTCGTATGTGGAATTTAAGAAATAAAACAGAAGAACATACGGGATGGGGCAAAAAGGGAGAGGGAAGCAAACCATGGGAGACTTAACTACAGAGAACAAACTGAGGGGTCATGGAGGGACGTGGGTGGGGGATGGGCTGGATGGAGGATGGGCTTTAAGGAGGGCACTTGCTGGGATGAGCACTGGCTGTTGTATGTAAGTGGTAAATCACTAAATTCTATCCCTGAAACCAATATTACACTATACGTTAACTAAAGTTCAAATTTAAAAATATATCTCTCTATTCCTGGACCGTCTAGGCAGGTGGTGAGGTCGCTGAGCCCGCCACGCTCGCTGCTTAGGACCGTCCAGTGCTGGCGTGGCAAATACCGGGAAACACCGCTGCCAGTGGTCTCTGTCCACCCAGCTTTGTGTGTTTGCTTGGGCTAGTTTCCTGAGGCCACTGTCACAACTTACCACAACGCTGGTGGCTTAAAACAACACAAATGTATCCTCTCCCAGTTCTGGAGGCTTGAAGCCCCAAACCAGGGTGTCGGCAGGCTTGGTTCCTTCTAGCAGTCCTGAGGGAGCATCTCTTCCATGGCTCTGTCCTGGCTTCTGGCGGCCGCCCGCCGTCCTTGTGGTTCCTGGCTCTGCAGCCACGTCACGTCACTCCAATCTACGCCTCCGTCTTCACGCGCCTTCTCTGTGCGTCTGTGTCTCCTCTTCTGTTGCTCTTATGGGTGATGTGATGACATTTAGGACCCACCCGGATAATCCCAGATAATCTTCTAATCTCAAGATCCTTAATTTAATCAAATTTGTTACCATAGAAAGTAATATTCACTCCTTCCCAGTATTAGGAAGTGCATAGAACTCTTTGAGGGGCCACTTCAGCCCACTACGCTTGTCTTTATTGATAAGACAGTACCCAGGCTTTTCTCCAGAAGGTTCATCAATTATGTTCTTTCCTCTTGGTTTCTCCAGTAATTTGTAGTTCTGAAGATGAGGGCTCTTTATAAAGGTTCCCCCACCAAGTAAAAACCTGAGAAAAAGGTTAAATACAACAACAGCTAAATAAATTGTCCTGCCAAGCACTTCACTGAGAGTTTCTCAAGTCGATTTTAAAGTAGGCTCCCCTTAAGAGGAACTAGCTCCCCTTCTGACGTAGCCACAGATTAATTTTTTAATTAATTTTTTAATTAATAAAAACATTTTATTAATGACCTATCATCATTGCAAGCACACTGCAATGACTGTGTAACATATTCCTTCAACACTATTTCCCTGAGTGTTCTGTGATTGTTTCTCTCACTACATCTTCAAAACCCTAGGTAGATGAGCCAAGCCATTTCTTGCCAGATTTTTACCTCACCAGTTAGCTAGTCCCACATCACACTGTGCAAGGGGGCTACCTACAGTTCCTCGTTGTCACTCTTCCCCATATTTCTAGATGGCCCATTCCCTCTATTTGAAGTCTTTGCTCGAATAGCTTTTTCTCAGTGAGGCCTTCTCTGACCACCTAGTTAAGATTACAGACCACTCCCACTGCCCCGGTACTGTCCAGCCCCCCTTCATCCTTCATTTTTCCCACAGAACCCGACACCTTTAACATTCTAGATATTTACTGATATGTTTTGTTGATGATCTTTCTCTCCCATTAGAATGTTAGCTTCTTAAGGGCAGTGATTTTCCTCTGTTATGTTCACTCTCTATCCCCAGCATCTAGAAGGGTACCTGACAGGTAGTAGGCCTTCAGTAAGTACTTGCTGAGGAGCTTGGTGACTGAGCACTAGGTCTGATCTACATAGTACTTTATACCAGTTTTACTCTTCCAAGGCTGGGGACCTTTGTGTATAACACCAGAGTACACACCCTATACATATACCTCTTAACTCTAATTAGTTCTGGAAATGGTAGACAGGTAATCCCAAAATCTTATGTAAGTCCATTTTTTTGTTTTGTTTTATTTTTTACCTTTCACTCCCACTACTCTATCTGAAGCTACTGGAATTTGTCAAAGAAAGCTAAGACAATATCTCCCATAAACACAGACACAGAAATCTTTGACAAAACATTAGCAAATTGGATCCAGCCAAAGATAATACATAGAGACAAGGTGGGGTTGATCCTGTTGAATTGAGAGTTCACTGGAGCTGACGATGGTCAGGCCACAGCCCTCTCACCTTCACCGTGGGACAGGGCAGCTCTAGAAAGCATGTGGTAATCCCAGGAGGTGACCTTGTCACCTCCTGGCTGCCAGAAATCATACTGGGCTAAAAAAGAGAAAAAGAGGTTTTTGTTTCCATGCTGCTGCTGGTGGTGGTGATGTCTTAAGGATTTGTCCTATCAAATTACTCTGTAGGACCTTCTTGGTACTTCAGCAACTAAACCGCCTTGACCAGGATCCCAGATAAGAATTTGAACCTTGTCCCTGAATTGTACTCTGCTAAAAAATGATACTATAGTAGCGATCCAAGTTTCCATTTGTCTTTCTCCTGGGTCTGTGTCCTTCTCTGACACTTCCCTTTTCTCCTGCCTCATTTGTAATTTATTTGCTTACAATGTGCTTTTCTTCCTTGGTACTGCTTTTTCTTTCTTCCATCATCTTTTTTACTATAAACACATTAAGTTTATAAGACAACCAGACTATAAAATCCACGAGGGCAGGAACTCTGTCTTTCTGTTCACCCATGCGTGCCCAGCAGTGCTGGGCATGTGGTAGGTTGTTGGGTAAATAACTTGGATGGATGGATGGACAAATGAATGGCCTTTTAGTGAACTTAATCCATCACAGTACTAGGTTAGTCCTTTTGGGGTCTTCTTAAAAACATATGTTCTTGCTAACTTCTACTTAAGATTTTTTTTTAATTATACTTATTTTAGCATTCCGGTTATTTGAAATCCAAATAAATGAATGCTTTACTGAATAATGAGATTGTGAGCAGACTTGCTCATATACTCTTTTTCATTAGGGTCTGTTCCTTTCCAGGTCTGGTATGACTATAAAACATTTGCTCATTGGGCAGGGGCACGTACTGTGAAGATCCCGGTAGCCTTAGACACCGTAAGTCATTTTCAGGCTGTTATTTTTACCTGTTGTGTTATATCCGTCTGCTTGGGCTGCCACCATAAAATACCACAGACAGGGTGGCTTAACCCACAGAAGTTTATTTTCTCACAGTTCTAGATGTCCCAGATGAAGGTGCCAACAATTCACTTCCTAGTGAAGACTCTCTTCCTGACATGTAGGCAGCCACCTTCTGGCTGTGTCCTCACGTGGCAGAGGGAGAGAGTGAGCTCTCTTAATGTCTCTTCTTATAGACACTAATCCTATCAGTTAAGGCCCCACTTTCTGACCTCATTTAACCTTAATTACCTCTTTCAAGGCCCTATCTCCAAATACAGTCACGTTGGTGGTTGGGGCTTCAACATAAGAATTTTGGGGGGACACATTCAGTCCATACCATATGCCTACATAGAAAGAACCAAGGGCATTAGTGTTCTAATTAAAAACATTTAATTGTACACCTTAAATGGGTGAGTTGTATGGCATGTGAATTATACCAATAAAGCCGTGAAAACGTGAGATGAAAGTATCCACGTATAGCCTGATTTCACAGTATGAAGCGTCAAGGACAAACAGCTCTTCCCATATATTTCCATTTGTACGCCTAAGAAAAATAATAACTCTGAAAACGGAGTAAAAATGGCGGTCACCACACACACCATACAGAATGTCCTCCTACAGGACCAAGTCACAAAACATGAGTTTTCATTTGTAACCCTGGCCCTCTAGGCCCAAGGGAAGGCTGTCAGTTACGATGGTAGAGTCAAGGGGGCCCATCCAGACTGAACTTGTGAAGGGAAGTTTGCTCTTGCCACTAAATCACAACCACTACTGCAGACCCTAAGTAGTGTTAGGATTAATACAGATATATTGACGTTATTTTTTAAAGCTGTTATCAGTAGTATGAACTCCATAATGAAACGATTTCAGATGTCAACTTTCAGATCTGAAAGAGACCTTAACATTCATCTACTCCAATCCCTCGTGGTTACAGGTGAAGAAACTGAGTTCAGAGAAGTTAAATTACTTGTCCGGGGCTGTGGCTAGATTGTGGCAGAACTGAGTTAAGACCCCAGGTCATCTGCACTCCCACTTCAGAGCCCATTCTTTACTAACTTACTACCTTGGTCTTTGGGGAAAAAAGAAAAGAAGAAGTGATTGGTTGATGAGGGGGAGATAAATGTGCTTTACTTCTTGCTGCCAACTGTGAGTCAGAGGGTGGACATCTTAACTACTCCACCGTCACTCCCAACTTCACTTATATTCTTGTACTTTTTTCCCTCTTGTACTCAGAGCGAAGTACAAGCCCCCGTATGATCCAAAGAGCTTCCTTACAGAGGATTGTATGGGGACGCAGGAAATTTCCTGGGCTTTCCTTGCTGGGAATGCCATTCCAGAACCATAGGTATGGGCCATGCTTATAAACCTGTGGTTAGAGTCACTTCAGGTGTCTTTGGTGGCCTCTACAACAGAAGTTTCACAAATTTACTCTCAGAATTGAGTCCGTCACCCTGGTGATTCAGGGAAGCAGGGAGCAGGAAGAGTGTAGACTCTAGTAAGGACAGAGTCATCTCCCTGAAACCAAGAAACCATAATATTTTATATGCACACATACATACATGTGGGCCTACTTACACAGGTACAAAAACTCACTCCTTAGCAGGGCCCTAGAAATAAACACGTGTATTATTTGGCAAGAAAATTAAAAATACAAAATAGGAACTACTGATAGGATAGGCAGAATAGATAACAAATTGATGAAGGGTGAGAAGTTTCCCTGATAATTAAAAAATGGACCACTTTTTAGTCTTGGAACTCTTTTCCTTTTAATGCCATGGCTTCCATATTTTCCATCTGTGTGCTCACAAATTTCTTTCACCTTTGAGTCTATACTTGTAAAGAATGGGAGTCTTGTATAATGAAATATTTTTAGATTCTATATTGAAATTGCTTTCTACGAATACTCCTTCCCTGAGCATATTGTTCTGTTACAGATACCGGTATTTCAGCGAGGTGGAAGTATAGTACCAATAAAGACGACTATAGGAAAATCCACAGGCTACATGACTGATTCCCCATATGGACTCCGAGTGGCTCTAAGCACTAAGGTATTTGGAAAATGTTACCTTTACACATCTCATTCGTTACTACTTTATCTCTTTACAGGAGTAGTGGCCTTTTGAGTATGTGACACTATGTAAAAATGATAAGCCCCAGTGATGGGATGGGTGCTTCTGATGTTTTTCTAGAAATCAAAGTTTTGAATCATTTCTGAATCATAGTCCAGCTTACCTGGCTTTTCTGGAATTGTTCTGAAGAGAACTCTAAGAACTAGAAATGATAAAAATTTCCTTCGGGGCACTGTGACCCTTGGTGCTCTGCAGCTTGGCATTGATTACCACTGGACTAATTGACCATTGGGCCTAGTCAGCCTGCCACATGGATTAGCCCTAAAACTCAGTCTCCTATAAAAAGGTGCCTATATCTATGTAACATTTCAGGAACACCAGCCCCACACAATGACTCTGTTTTCATCATTGGCTCAAACAACTAAGATCTGGGGTAAAGCTCAGAAGGATCCAGAATTTGTATGTCCTTTTTAGAAGTTTTTTTTTTTTTTAAAGATTTTATTTATTCATTTGAGACACAGAGATACAGAGAGAGAGAGAGCATGAGCAGGGAGAGAGGCAAAGGGAGAGGGAGAAGCAGGCTCCCCACTGAGCAGGGAGCCTGATGCGGGACTCGATCCCAGGATCCTGGGATCATGACCTGAGCCGAAGGCAGATGCTTAACCATCTGAGCCACCCAGGCACCCCTTTAGAAGACCTTTTGAGCCAAATGAAACCTATAGCAGACTCCTTTCCTGTCCATTTGCCCACCTATAGTACCAACACAAACTCTTCCTCTTCTACAGGACTGAACACAAATTCATACTCTTATGCAAATATAAAATAATTAAGCTTGCTTTCCCATCTGTTTCACTTAGGACATTCTTATTGGGCCAAATTATGAGCCTCAGACCACAGAATAAATACAAGAGACTCGAGATCCATAGCACATCAAGCATTGTCAATGAACAGTAAACGGCCATTGGCGTGCTGTGACTTTGTTTGACATGCCAGAGGGGTCCTCCTACTGAAAGGAAATAGGAGCCAGATGCTATCCTATAAGTGGAGGGCTTCTAAAGATAGCTAATCTCATCCATTATATACTAAATTTTTTTAGCTTTAGTTTCATTCTGTGAACTTTTTTCAAAGAAGCCACCTATGCCACTGACCATATTTTGTAGTTTAAATTTTTTTCAACAAGATCTTACTCTTTGAGCTCCTCTTACGTGACTTCCTTATTCATATTATTTCACTAATGGGTATTGAATGTATATATTTATATGACTACATTGTACAGCTTGAATATTAAGTTTTTGTTTAACAAAATTCTTCACAAATTTTTTACTTCCTTTAGGGGGTGACATGCTTTTCCTAGTAAGCTATTATATAAGCACATTCTCTATCTATGTTTCTATGTTTCACTCTCCAGGATTCTGCCATGGGTGAATTCTATCTCGACGACGGCCATTCATTCCAATACCTCCACCAGAAGCAATTCTTGCATAGGAAGTTTTCATTCTTGTCAGGTGTTTTGATCAACAGGTAAAAAGCTGTGTGCTTTCTTAAATATGCGATCCTCAAAAACACAGCTAATATTTTAAGGTACTACTTAAATTATTGATGGTCATTTATGGAGTGTTTTTTTCAGCTTCACTAAATAATTGACAAGCACAATTCTAACGTATTTAAAGTGTACAACATGGTGAGTCACTACATGTATATACTGTAAAAGGATTCCCACATCAAGTTAATTAACTCATCCATCACCTCACATATTTACTTTTTGTGTGTGTGTGAGAACACTTAAGTTCTACTCTGTTGGCAAATTTCAGTTATACAATATAGTATTGTCAACTGTGGTCACCATCTTATACATTAGATACTCAGACCTTATTCATCTTATAACAGAAAGTTTGTACCCTTTTACCAGCCTCTCCCTATTTCCATTTGCAAATACAAACAATTTTATTTCTTCCTTTCCAATTTAGATGCCTTTTATTTCTTTTTCTTGCCTAATTGCTCTGGCTAAGATGTCCAGTACTATGTTAAACAAAAATGGTGAGAAGTGTGCATCCTTTTCTTGTTTCTGATCTTGATTCAGCTTTTCCCCATTGAGTATGTTAGCTGTGGGCTTGTCACATACAGCTTTTATTAAGTTGTGGTACATTCTTTCTTTTTCTTTTTTTTTGAGAGAGAGAGAGCAGGAGCATGGGAGTGGGAAGGGGCAGAGGGAGAGGGAGAGAGAGAATCTTAAGGGGGCTCCACACTCAGCATGGAGCCCGATATGGGGCTCCATCTCACGACCCCGAGGTCATGACCTGAGCCAAAATCAAGAGTTGGACACTTTACCCACTGAGCCATCCAGGTGCCCTGAGGTACATTCTTTCTATACCCAGTTTTTTGAGTTTTTATCATGAAAGGATGTTGAATTTTGTCAAATGCTTTTCCTATACCTACTGAAATAATCATATTATTTTTGTCCTTTTTTGTTAAGGTAATGTGTCACATTTATTGATTTGCCTATGTTGATGCATCTCTGTATCCCAGAAATAGATCCCACTTGATCATGGTTTGTGGTCCTTTGTTGAGGAGTTCTACATCTGTGTTCCTCAAGGATATTGGCCTGTAATTTTCTTTTCTTGTACTGTCCTTGCTAGCTTTAGTATCAGGATAATGCTGCCCTCATAAAATGAATTTGGAAGTGTTCCATTTTTGGAAGAATTTGAAAAGGATTGATATTCTTTAAATGTTTGATAGAATTCAACAGTGAAGCCATCTGGTCCTGGACTTTTCGTTGTTGGCAGTTTTTTGTTTACAGATTCAGTATCCTTACTAGTAATGGGTCTGTTCAGATTTTCTTTTCTTCATGATTCAGTATTGGTAGGTTGTATGTTCTAGGAATTTATCCATTTCTTCTATTTTATCCAATATATTATTAGCGTGTAATTGTTCATAGTAGTTTCCTATGATCCTTAGTATTTCTAAGGTATCAAATATAACATTTCCTCTTTCATTTCTAATTTTATTTATTTAAATTCTAGTATAGTAAACATACAGTGATACGTTTCTGATTTTATTTGAGTCCTCTCTCTTTTTTTGTTGGTGAGTCTAGCTAAAGATTTGTCTATTCTGTTTATTTTTTTTTAAACTAGCTCTTAGTTTCATTGATCTTTCCTACTGATCTTTTTAGCCTCTGTTCCATTTATTTTCACTCTGATCTTTGTTATTTCCTTCCTCCTGCTAACTTTGGGCTTAGTTTGTTCTTCATTTTATAGTTCCTCGAGGTGTAAAGGTAGATTGTTTATTTAAGATTTTTCTTTTTCTTAATATAGGCACTTATTGCTATAAACTCCCCCCTTAGAATTGCTTTCGCTGCATCCCATAAGTTTTGGTATATTATGTTTCCATTTTAATCTAAGATATTTTATTTACCTTTTATTTTTTTGTTTGACCCATTGGTTATTTAGGGGCATGTTATTTAATCTCCATATATTTGTGAATTTTCCAGTTTTCTTCTTGTAATTGATACCTACTCACCTACCATTATGGTCATAAAAGATGCTTAATATAATTTCAGTCTTTTTAAATTTGGTAAGACTTGTTTTTAGTTTAATGTATGGTCTGTCCTGGAGAAAGTTCCATGTGTGCTTGAGAACGATATGTATTTTTCTGCTGTTGAATGGAATGTTCTATATATATCTATTAAGTTTATCTGGTCTAACATGTAGTTTAAGTTCACATTTTCTTTACTGATTTTCTGTCTGGATGATCTATCCATTGTTGAAAATGGGGTATGTAAGTCCTCTGCTATTACTGTGTTGCCATCTATTTCAACCTTCAGATCTGCTAATATTTGCTTTATATATTTAGATGCTCTAATACTGGGTGCATAAATACTTACAAATGTTATATAGCCTCTTAGTGAATTGACCCATTATATAACTATCTTTGTTGTCTCTTATTACAGTTTCTGGCATAAAGTCTGTTTTGTCTGATATAAATATTAGCTACCCCTGCTATTTTTTGGTCTCCATTTGCATGGAATATCATTTTCCATCCCTTCACTTTCAGTCTGTATGTGTCCTTAAAGCTGAAGTGGGTCTCTTATAGGCAGTATATAGTTGGGTCTTGACTTTTTAACCATTCAGCAACTCTGTCTCTATTGATTGGAGGATTTAGTTCAAGTTACTTAAAGTAATTATTGATAGGTGATTTGGGGTCCCATACTCAGGTGGGGGCCTTAACACTGGGGCAGTAGGAGTGTGGTCCAAACCTTTCACTCTTCAGGGAGAAGTTGGGAGTTCCCCTCCTAATTGTATGGCACTGTCCCCGGGGTAGTGGTCACGGTGAGCGTGTTTCAGCCTTTCCTACCTGATTTGATGTGGCTATTTCCTCAGTCACCTGATGTATAAGAGTCACTCAGCTAGTTTCTGTATCTCTAAGAGGGAATTGCTCCACAGCTTACATTTGGTGCATCTGTGGGAGGAAGGAAATTCAGGGGCCTCTTATGTTGCCATCTTGGTCTGGAGTTTCTCTGAAGTATTTTTCAATCCCTCTGTGAACCTTCCTTCCTTATTGTCTCCATCTTCCTGTTCTTCACTCTCTAAAAAATAAAAAATTCAGTTTAAGTTCTGATTAATCCCATTTATCTGCCCATTCAGCAATTCGTTAAGTATCTGATTTCTTAAAATCTGATTGCAGTGTCCAAGTCACATTTGAGACTTCAGTGTCCTTAGGTGATTTCTCTCCAAATGGCTTGTTAAATGGATTCTGGTTTGTCTACTGGTTAGGCAGTCCTCGGCACAGGGAATCATCGTTTCCATCTCTTCATCCTAGTAAACATGATAACCATATGGTTCATGCCTCCATAGGGAAAGATGGGAGGGGAACTCCCAAGGCTAGGATATTGACCTAATAACCAGTCCAAACCCCTATTCCTCTCATTTTCCTAATACCACCTAATATCCATATTCCAGTTGTGCCGACAAAAGAGGTCATTATCCCAGCAAGTGTGTGGTGGAGCAGATCTTTGTCCTAGGCCTCAAGAAGCAGCCATCTTCTGTGACCACCCGTTCATCTGGTGAGAAAACAGGTCATTTGTTTGTGTAAACATGGAAGTATCTGCAGCAAAGAAATGATTAGTCCTAAAACTGATGTAGCACGCTTAGCCAAGTGGACCCTGCACTTTCTGATGGAGGTCAAATATACTGGTATCTAGGGGGAGCAAGGCCATCCTGCTTCTCCTCATCAACTGGGCTTTCTGTGAACTGTAAGCTGTTGATATTTTTCTAAGGGAAGTTATTTGGGGCTTGAAATAATATTGTAGCTTCTCTGAATGTATTTTTGACTGTAGATGTCTGAAGCCCCAGAGAATCCTACCCATGTTTATGGAGTTATTTAAAGAGCTATATCCTTTCTTATCTACTGAATTTCTTGGATAAATCACTTTGTTCCTTACAATTTCCTTTCAACCAATCTTGCACTCAAAATGATGGAGTGTTTAATGTTTAAAAAATTCATGGACATCCATGGGTAAAAGTGCTATTAAATGGGATTCTCCCAGGTGGGGTATCAGGTTTTATGATCGAGTCAGAAATATTTTAGATTCAAAGGAAAGATTTTTCTCTCCTAGATATTCATCAAATTTTTCCTGTTATTGTCCTGATATTTAGATGGTAAAGATGAGCCTGTGGCTTTTACATATTGTGCCCAAATGTCCACCCTGCGGCTGGAAAAGCTGTCGCTGAACATCGGCGCTGACTGGGAGGTCCACGTCCGATGATGGTGCAGTGTACCCGGGGCGAGCGTGGGAAGCAGCCTGCACCTTTCAGCCTTGCCCTTGGCCTCTTCTGAGATCTGTGCTGCATGCTAATTGACTTCTCTGGCTAAAAAGTATCCATTGATCAGCAGCTTACTAATGAGAATAGACTTCAGGTTTTACATTTTTAGAGGTACTAGTCATACTCTTTGTGTCAAACACCACTTCTTCTCCTAGATGCAAGTAGCCCTGCGCAATTTATAGAGTTCATTAATCTTCCACTGCTTATTGGACCGTGGTGCTGTGGTAAACGCTGTGGCCCAATGAGTAGCTTCTCCTTGAGCATAGCTGCATGGGTTTGTTTGGTTGTTGTTGTTGTTTTTGTTGTTTTAAGGAAACTCTACCCCCAACGGGGGCTTGAACTCACAACCTGAGATCAAGAGTCGTATGCTCTACCAACTGAGCAAACCAGGCGCCCCTGGATGGGTCTGTTTATGTGAGATTTGGGCCAAGCGCACCTTGTGTGGCCCATTTGTGGAAGCTTGCCTCAGGCCACGCGGCAGAGTCAGGCCGGCTACAGCAGCTGAGTTACTCGAGGCCTGTCTCCAAGTGGACAGCAGCCTCTGGTACCCGCCCCCCCAGTTACCTTTCACCCACTTAGACGTGGGCAAAACAACCCTTTTCTGCTTGTACTGCATACACCGCAGCAACAGAGAGTTACTCACCCCTAAAGACTGACTCGGAAGCAAAAGAGAATTCTTCTCCCTGTCATACTTTTTGGGCTTCAAAGTGCCTAATTAATCTTCTTAAAATCCTAATTTATCTTAATTGTTTTTATTAAATACTGTTTACTAGCCACAGAATATTTGTAACATGAGTAAGCTGTAGCTTATAATTAATAATAAAATGAATACCCATTTCCCCACTCCTGATCTTCAGAAATAGAACACAGGGCTGGGAGGAGGGTGAGGTAAGCGTACTTGCCTTGAGCAAAAAATTTAAGGGGATACAAAAAAAATGCAATCATCAAAATAAATGATATTTTAATGCAGTATTTTTTAAAAATCAAAATTAATGCAAAAAATAATAACAAAATATCAAAATTTTAAATAAAGACAGGATCGGTGTTACTGAGGTTTCCTTTTCCCTCAGGCTCCGATATGGCTTGGCATGGGCTAGAACATTCCAACAGCCCAGTCCCTCAGGAGCCGCCGGGGACCGCCCGCGGCCGGCTGCAGCATCTGTGGGGCGACCCCGAGTCCTCGGCGCTCCTACACCAGTGCGCGTTTTCACGTGTCCTTCACCCAGCAGCTTGCCGACTGCCACTTCTGTGCCTTGTGGTCCCTGGGCCGCCGTACCCACCCCCTTCCCCCCCAATGCAAACCTTACCATCCCTTCAGGCCCCACCCAAATGCCGCTGTTCCACTAAGCCTTTCTAACTACCCTAAAGACCCCGAGCCCCTGTACCCGTGAGCAGTGATGTTGCCCATCTGTGAAATGTTGCTGCACTTACAATGTGTGTTCTACTTCGCATTCTCAGGGGTGGTCCCTTAACGTTTCAGTCTTGTCTGTCTTGTTGCCTGGCTAGAGTGCATGTTCCTTAAGAGCACGTTACATTTGTCTTCTGTCGGCCAGAGCAGCGTTATCCTTGGCTTTCACCAACTATTGGCTACAAGTGGTTATCTGATGAATTTGGTTGATTAAAAAATGAGAATTGGGGCGCTTGGGTGGCTCAGCCGTTGAGCGTCTCCCTTCGGCTCAGGTCATGATCCCAGGGTCCTGGGATCGAGCCCCACATCGGGCTCCCTGCTCCGCGGGAAGCCTGCTTCTCCCTCTCCCACTCCCCCTGCTTGTGTTCCTGCTCTCGCTCTCTCTCTCTGTCAAATAAATAAATAAAATCTTTTAAAAAAAAAATGAGAATTGAATGTATTTGTTTCTGATTTACTTTTCTGACAGGACTCTTCCCTCTAGACAAGTAGACATTGTGCATTTCCTCGTGGACACGTTTCATTATATCAGTTGAGATTTGGGCTTTGCACCGTTTGTCAGCTCATACAAACATTTGCAGATTCTTTGCTATTTCTGTAAGTTGTGCAATTCAGGAGAAAGGAGGAAGGTGACATTAGCTGAAGCAGTATTTCCCAGCTTCAAACTTACCTTAGCAACCTACAGTCAGAAACTGAAAATGGAGTGCTTTTACCTAATATAAGTGATGGCTTTTAATAGCATTTAAAGTTGAATAATTAAGACCTATCTTTAGATGAACATCTATTGCATTTATTCTTCCATGTGAAGTATTTTGGGGGGAAGGAATGAATAAGAACTAGTAAATTGTGGGAAACTGCTCTACCTTGACCCAGAATGATACCGAAACGTTCACCTAGAGACATTGAGTGGAGAGAAATATAGTCTGGGTGTTAACTGTTCTCTGCCCTTTACTGCTTCTCCCCCTCCCCCACCCCCTGTTCCTGCAGCTGTGCCCAGAGCGCTGTGTGGGGGTGAGTTGACCTGCAGGTGTTCGATTACCTTGTTGTGGCTAATTCTTGACATGTTACTCAGGAAACTGGATTTCATGTAAGAATTAGAATAATTTCCACAGGGATTGAAACAAAGCTCTCAAATGCATGATGTGTCTCTACTTAAGGCTTAAATGCCAAGGAATGAGTTGACAAATTAGTTTAAAATCAGAAACTGCCCAACAGAAAAACAGGCAAAGGTAATTCGTAAAATAAAGTAAAACAGACAAAACAAGCATGAAGGGTGCTCAGCCTCATTAATAATCAAAGAAATGATTTTTTTTTTTTTTTTGCCTGACTGGCCAAGATGAAAAAGAGTGAAAATGTCCAGTGCTGATGTTGGTGTGGGGACAAGTCATTCTCATGCATCACAGGTGGAGTTATAAATAAGTATAACCTCTCAGGATGAGTATCTGGCAGTAGTGTCAGAACTTTAAATCTGCATACTCTAACCCAGCAATTCCACTTCAGATAAATCAGATAAATTGCTCAGAGCTACTAATTGCAGTGTGATTTACACTGTGGAAAACTAGGAATAAGCTGTGTTCTCTAACAGGGGGCTGGTTAAATATAGCCGTTTCATACAGCAGAATACTATACAATTATTAAAATAACAATCTGTATGTACATCAACATAGAAGAAACATTTTTGTTAAATGTTTCAGTGATTTCACTTATGTAAAAGTTATAAACTGAAATCGAGGGACATCCTATACTCTTCAAAATGTAAAGGCCATGAAAAACAGATCTGAGGAAATGTTCTAGATTGAAGAGGGTACAAAAGAGACATGACAACAAATGTGTGTGTGATCCTGGGCTGGAATCTGGGCCTAAAAGGGCATGATTGGGACAGTTGGCAAAATTTGAATGGGATCTTTTGATTACACGGTAATATTCCTAATTTTGAGGGTTATACTATAATTATATAGAAGAATTTCCTTGCTTTTAGGAAATACATACTAAGGTATTAAAAGGTAATGAGTCATCATATCTTTAACATATTCTCAAATGGCTCAGAAAATGTATGTATGTATGAGAAGGAGACAAAACAGAAAAAGGCAAAATGAGTTTAAATGTTATAATTGAAGAAACTGGGTGAAGGATATATAGGAACTCTTTATGCTGTATTTTCCACTTTCCTATGTTTTAAACTATTAAAAAAAAAAGTTGAGCCATATCTCTATAATATCTAACAGCTTTAAACTGTTTGCTTTCTAGTATTGTAAAAGCTTATAAGCTGTGGCATATAAAATAGGATGAAACCAAGTTAATAAAAGAACATACCTCGATTCTAATGCTGCAGACCACTTCAGAATGTTCCTCAGATCAGCTCTTCTTCACCTGAGAAGCGCTGGGCCACGTCAAGTCCTCTACTTCAGGGACACAAATCCCATCCTCTTGTTGGCTAGGACACAAAGGGGAGTTACTCAGATCTGAGGGCTGAAAGCCATCAGCAGAAGGGAGGAGAGGGAAGGAACAAAAGCTGGGAAGCAATGTGCTTTGTCTTGCAGAACCAGCAGCCAGCCAAGGAGACTCCCCAGCCAGGTGGTTCACCAGATGGCCTCTTATGTGAGCCAGTTTTGGCTGGTTTGGAGCTGAGGACCTGCCAAAGAAGCCCCCCTGAGTTGTCCTAAAGTTAACTTTAGCTCATTATAATACTAAGATCTCCTCCCATGGGCTGAGTTTTCTGCCATTTTTGAACATACAATGTATGCACTAGCATGTTGACATGCTAGGCATGCTCAGTTGAACCAAAGTGCCTAAGCATAGAATATCTCTAAGTTTCTTAATGTATATACAATTTCCCTGCTCCTGCCCCCCAATACAGAGTTAAAGCTTCTTGTACTAACCCCACAGGAAGACAGTACTTTGAGAGCTATCTTCCCGTCCTTACTTGTAACAAGTAATAAAAAGGTCTTTGTTTTCAACTTACTTGGGTTGTGTTCAATTTAATGCACACCAAACGGCAAAGCCCTTGAGTTCAGTCGTACTCTGAGCACCAGGCCAGCAGCCCCTGGCCGTACACACCCACACTGTGGCAGCACTTTGTTGTTCCTTCACCACAGAGGTCTTACCTGACGGCAGCAGCTGACCAGAGAGCCTTCAGGAGGGCTCACACTAAGAAACAGAATACACGTGGGGCGCCTGGGTGGTTCAGTCGTTAAGCATCTGCCTTCGGCTCAGGTCATGATCCCAGGGTCCTGGGATCGAGCCCCGCATCGGGCTCCCTGCTCCACGGGAAGCCTCCTTCTCCCTCTCCCACTCCCCCTGCTT